TCACCATGACCTCAGGGCAGGACACAGGCCACACCAGGACAGGCCAGGACACCTGGGGAACCTTGGAAGAGGCTTTCTGCCTTTCTGCCTAAAGCACCCAGCAATCTGGTCACCAAGAGCTGCGATCCTCAAACCCAGGCCCTGGGGGTAGGAGGGTGCACAGGAAATCAGAAATCTTTTCAAGGTTGCCCTCTATCTGAGATGACACTCTCCTAGTTTTTCTGCCACTAAAACAGCCTTTCTTTTATAAAATGCCAACCGTATTAGGTAGTAGTCGGGGTTTTAAATTTTTGTTTCCCTCCTGTCTTTAAAAGACGTGTTGAACAAAATCACACACTGACAACCCTGGAAAGGGCCTTCCCTTTCCTTAAGATTGCTCTGTGGAACCCAAGGACTGGACGAGCAGCCTGTCAGATGCTGCCCGCTCTCCACTGCATGCCCACGAGTCTGCGGCTGGATGAGCTCTAATCCACGCTGCTCAGTCACCCACCACCAGAGCCGTGAAACAGGACCCCCCGGCCTCCTGAGAATGGTGGTCCCAGAAGTAAAGGAAAGCCTCAAGAAGAGGACCCCCTGAATGATCCCATCCCAGTGTCAGGTCTGCTGTCTTAACAAGCCCCAGCCCGATAGCTGTCGCAGGAGCAAAACCACCCAATGCACCGCAGAGGGGTCACTGCTGGTGACATTCACAGACCAGCAGGACATCGACATGAGGCTAGCCCAAGGACACTGGGCCTTTATCCTGCCTGGCTTCCCGGGGGCTTAAGCCCCAAAGTAGTCTTGACTGAGACTCAAACCTGAGGTACGACAGAAAACTAGCAGCATCTCCCAGGAACATGATGCCCCCGCCTGGCTGGAAAATCTATCCTTCCTTCCTGCTGGGCCCCCAGCCTGGGGAAGGGGGGACTAACAGCTTCCTGAGGCAGTGCTGGGGACACTGCTGTGCTCTGGGCCATGCAAATGACCTCCATCTGAGCCAGGGCAGGGGCTAGGTGGAACCTTCCAGTCTGGACACCAGGATGAACGTGCCTCTACCCCCGACTCTGCCTCACTCTAATGGGCAAAATGATAGTCACAGCAGTATTTGAGGTATTTTTGAGGTATTTGACCCCAACCTATCAGCAATCACACCTGTGCAATGAAGTCACCATAAAAACCCGAGAGCTCATCCTGGTAGGTGATGCACCCGGAGAGCGCCCGGAGGTTCTGCATCCCTCCTCCAGGACCTTGCCCTGCACATCTCTCCTGCATCCTTTGAAATATTCTTTATGACAACCCAGTAAGCTAAGTGTTTCCTGAGTCCTGTGAGCAACTAAAGCAAATTAACTGAACCTCAGGACGAGATTACAGGGGCCCCCATTGAGAGTCTCCTGATCAGAAGCATCAGTAAAAACCTCCTGGGGCTTGCAGCTGGTATCTGAAGGGTGGGGGGTACTGTTTTGGGGACAGAACCCCCAGCCTGGGAAGGTAGGATGCCACCACCAGATGTGTCCAGAACTGAACTGGAGTGAGGGAGCCCCAGCACCTGCGAGCTACAGCTGCAAGCTTGCACGGTAGGTGGGGAGAAGCCCCCACGTATGCCGAGGTCACAGGGGTCTTGTGTGGACTGTGGAGGTGTGAGCACACAGAAGAAACACCAGCCGATATGTTTCCTATCACACAGGCAGACCCCAAGGTAAGTGGCAACGAGGCCACATACCACACGGACACAAAGGTTCACCACACACAGGGCCAAGAAAAGGGAACGACCCAAATGACCCTGCAAGAGAGAAGCTGAACACAGCGTGTTACATCCATCCAGTAGACTATTAAGTCAGCAAAAAAAAAGGGGGGGGATGAGGTATTAATGAACCCCCAACAGATGAATCTTTAAAACACAATGCCAAGGCCACGTATTATATAATTCTGCTTATATGAACTGATTCACTATGTGTTGCGGTCTCCATAAACAGCCAAGCAGAATAGGAAAATCCATGGAGATTGAAAGATTTGCAGTTGTTGGAGGCTGGGGGAAAGGAAATGACTGTTGAAAGATCTGAGGTTTCTTTTCGGGGTGATGAAAATGTTCGGGGTGATGGCTGTACCACTATTCACTAAAACCCGCAAAAGTATGTAACTTTTACTTTTGCAGTATTGGGATCCCATCCAGGGTCTTGCACATGCTAGGCAAGTGTTCTACCATCAAGCAACACCCCCAACCCTGTATATATTTTTCGCTTGTTTGTTTTGTTTTATTTTTTGAGACAGAGTCTTTAAAAATAGTAGCATAGTTCAGGCTGATTTCAAGTTCACTACATAGCCCAGTGGGTCTCAGATTCATGGCAGTCCTCCTGCCTCAGCCTCCTCAGTGCTGGGACTTCAGGTGTGTGCCACCAGGCCCGGCTAGCCTTGTATACTTTAAAGAAGTGGAATGTGAGTCTCATCTCAATAAAGCTGTCAGAGTTTACTCAGGATAAAACACTAGCACCACAGGGCCCCAGCCCAGAGCATCAGCATGTGGGATCCATTAGTATCCAGATCTGGCATCAGAAACACTGCCACAGGCTCAGCACTGGGGACACACACACTCCATGCCAAATCCACCAGAGAAGTCTCGGGCGCACTGAAGCTGGGGACCCTTGCATAAGTCTGTGGTTCTCAACCCTGGAAGTACACTGGCGTCACTATTTATTTTGGGGGCCTTTTGTTTGTTTGTTTTTGTTTTATTTTGTTTTGTTTTTGGGACAGGGTCTCACTGAGTAGTCCAGGCTGGCTTTGAACTCACTATGGAACCCAGGCTGGCCTTGAACTCATAGTGATCCTCCTGCCTCAGCCTACCTAGTACTGAGATTCCTGTGTGTGCCACCACACCCACCCACGACAACTTTAAAAACAAGACCCAGACACGGCCCCACAGCAGACCCGCTCAGACTCTGGGAATGGAAGTAGGCAGGAGACGCCCTGAAGCGCCCATATTAACCTCATGCCCAGGCAGGATGAGAGCGCAGCACTAGGAGCCATCTCAGGCCCTCCGCACTTAAATTTGACCCAAAGTCAGCTCCCAGGGCCATCTTGTGGCCATGCTGGGTACTACACAAATTTGGCTTCCAGATCTGTGGGGCAAGTCTCTGCACCACCCTGGCCTGGAAAACAGACTGGGTGGCCTAGTGGGAGCTGCGGGAGTCCTCAACTGCTTCAGCCTCCTCCCTTCTCACTACAACACTCTACACTCGGAAGACAGAGCAGCCACAGCCCCTGCCATACTACCCCCACCTTCCTCCCCTGCCAACAAAGTAGGGACAGCTGAGCCTCCAACCTCACCTCTGATTTCCTCTGACGAAACTGCAGGTACCAGGCCGCCTTCATGCCCTAAACTCACTCAGCCTCCTGGCCTTTGCACCTGTGGCCCCTCCTGCCTGGACAGCCTCCCTGCTCTCACGCTACCAGGACTGTTCCAGGCCAGCTCCATAGGGGAGACACACACACACACACCAGCTCAAGCCTGCAGCACTCCTGCTCCACACTATGCACAGCACACTGGACATTCAAGGCTGCACAGTGCACAGGGAGGAAGGGCCGTTTAGCTGTGGGATGCAGAGAAGAGGCTCTCCCAGGGCCTGGCCAGCCTGGGCAGCCTGGGCAGCCTGGGCAGGACGTGGGTGATGGTGCTTTGAAGCACCTTTCCACTTCCTGGGCCTCGGGCTACAGACAACAGGAAGCCTAGGTTCTTTACTCTCCCGGCTCCATGCTGCCACCTGGTGGTAGCACACTAGACCATTGTGAGCAGGACCCATCATTCTCTACGTAAAACTATCTTTTTGAATGCACAAAGCTCGGAGTCACCTTCCCCTCTCCACATAGAGCCGCTTTTCAGTAGACAAACTCCTACCTCAGCTGACCTCTAATCTTGGATACAGTCTGGCCCACATGCCTTGCCCATCTCCAGCCAGGTACCACCCTTTGCCACAAGCTGGTCGGATCCCTGACCCTGAGCAAAGGCTGCCGGGATGCATCATTCTGCAACGTGTGTCCAGCTGCTCACAGCACAGGCTGGCTGGGGGCAGCCTGCCTTCCTGCAAGGGCCACAGGCAAAGCTGTCCTGAGAATCACTGGCCAGCAGCAGAGAACACAGGCGGGCACACACTGCCCTCTCTCAGCACCCTTAGAGCGCTCGCCCTACCCAGAACTCCCATGGTACCCCCTCTATGACACCAGCCCCCCTGAATCCACAGGGCCAGGGAAAAGCAGAAGTGGGCAGGTCAGCTGCTCCACTCCCAGACCTGAAACACAAACTGCAAGGGCCACGATAACTTGTGATGGCACAGGGGAGGGGACAAAGGTGACAGAGAAGAGAACACTAGGGACCAAGGCAAACAATAGAACACGCTCTTTCAGACTGGCCTCAAATCCCAGATTCTAACTTGGAATCCAGACTTACGAAAATCGTATTTTTACAACTGAGTCAAAAAACAAATTTTTTTTTTTTTTGTCTTTTTCCTTTTTACCGGTACCAGGGATCGAACTCACGACTACCTGCTTCCAAGGCAGGTGCAAAACAAATTTTAACTGAGCAAATTTGAAAAGTCCAAATGGAGCCAGGCCAGTTCCTGTGGACATGGCAGCATCATCTACCATGTGTGATACAGAACCGCATCCCTGCCAACTGCCCATCAGCTGGTCCAAGCCTGAGGCCCCAGCAACCCCCCGGACTCGTGCACCCTGGGTTCCCATGATCTACCAACTAGGGGGTACCACCTGGCACCAGGGGGCCCTCAGATGTTCACAGCTGAGACTGGCCCCTTCCTTGCTTGGTCCCAAGGCCACAGCACGTATGAAGCAGTTTGCAGCACACCTGCACACATCATGCACAGAATCAGGCGGGAGTGGCTTGGGCTGAGAATATTTCCATTTCAGGGATCACCTCCACCTCCCGGAGGTAGAAGGTAACCAAGTGCAACCAGAGGGCCAACCGCGGCCTGGGCGGAGCACACCTGGAATGCAGCTGGGCAGCTCGGGCTCACCTGGCGGTAGGTGCAGATGATGAGCTCCCGCAGGTGGTAGTGCATGGGCGTCATGGTCTCGCTGACCGTGTCCAGGGCTGCGTCCACCTCCTTCTTTATGCGGTGCCCATCGGGCAGCAGCTGTACCACGTTCATCACTACCTAGAGCCAGAGGATGGGGGATAAGTAGCCAGGAAGCCCTCGGCGGGCAGCAAGAGGGAAGAGGGCTCCTGGACACCTCTCGGGCTGGGCTCCCAAAGTGCTTTTCATCTCACCCCTTTTACTGGCGATGCACAGACGTTTCCAGTTGCACACAATTTTAATGTGAAATTGAAAATCTTAACAACTGCTACCATTCTTTTTCAATTATTCCAGTAACTTTGAAACCTCCAATCTGGAGACAAATCTTCCCAACAGGGGTATCAAGGGCTAATACTGCTGGGTGTGGGTAACCTGTGGCCTAAATCCTGTTCAGCTCATACTCTATCTCCACATCTGCTACACCCTCACGTTTCTAGTCTTTCACAGTACCCTACCAAAACGACCAGGAAAACAGGGCCCCTTGACCAGGCGTCAGTCCGTACGCAGTCCTGCCAGGGGACCAGGTGTTAGGAGTGCAGATTCTCCTACTATGCAGCTCAGCAATGGCTTCAAGTTCAAGGCATAATAAACAACCGCCATCTCCTGTGCTTTGTGCCGTGGGATATGAGAACCAGCCCAGCGCCGTGAGCTGTGAGGCGCTTACTCCTCGGTAGAAGGCTGATTTCAGATGAACCCCACCCTAAGCAAGCAGTGGCTGCAACATGCATGCCCCCGGGTAGGGGAGGTGAGATGTGTGACCAGGCCATGCTGAGGCCTTCCCAGCGCTCCTCCCATCCCATGGCAGCCCCAGACACTGTGGGGAACCCCAGCTCTAGTCAACCCAGCATGGACACACCCATCTGATATCAGCGCCCCTGGGAAAAGAGGCCTGAGTGGTCACCGGGGCAGGGCTCTTCCCCACCCTCCCAATACGGCCCTCTGAATCCGTTTACCCTGCACTCCACAGCCCCACTAGGGACCCCTCCCTGCTCTCCCTACGGTCAGAGAGGTCTTAAAAAGTATAAACCTGAGCATGCCACTGCTGTCATTCACGGGCATCGGTCTCCCAATGGTGACCACGCACTCCACATAAAACCCAAACCTTCACTGGTTCTACAGGCCCTAGAATCGCCTTGCCCCTGGGCTCTCCCACACCCTCTCCTTTCCACAGCCCACAGCCCACAGGCATCTTTTCATCCTGACCTGGCCCTCACATCTGCACCCACTGGGCAAGGGCTGTCCACAGCCCCTGCCGGGTACCCCTTATCCACCAGGCCGGGAAGGAGAAGATACAGACAACTGGCTCCTTGTGCAAGCTCGCCCAGGCCCGCCCCAGGAAGGGCTGCCCCCACCCTGTCTTCATTGAAGGCCAGCAGCACAAGGTGGCTGCCAGGTGAGAAACAAGAGCTCAGCAGCCTGGAGGCCACCAACAGCTGATCCAGCTTGAGGTGTGAGTGTGGGAGTCAGAGGGGCCGCCCGGTCCACACCCCATGCCTGGACTCTGCAGGTCCCCAGGAGGGAACCTGTGAAGTCTTGAAAACCAACTCCTAGCCTCTGGCGTGAAGCTGCTACTCCCCGAATTCTGCATCTTTGTGGCTTTTACCAGTGTAGAGCCAGAGACCTGGGGTCCTCCTGAAAGTCCTCCCTGCCCCATGTCCAGTGGCCCTCAAGACCTCCCTCCCACTCACTGCCCCCTCCTTCCCAGACCCTCCACTCCGTGTGACTGCTGCTAGAGCCACTGGAGGGACAGTCTCATCACAACCTCCTCCTGCTGCCCTGCTGGCCTCAAGGTGAAGATCAAACGCATGCTGGGGCCCTGCCCTCAGCCCCACTCTTTCTGATCCAACCAATCACAGCCTTGTCCAGGTCCCACACCTTCCAAAAACCCCTATTATGCACACTTGGCCCCTGGCTCCCACCTCCCCAACCACTCTGTTTTGTTTGTTTGTTTGTTTGTTTTGGTCTTTTTGAGACAGGGTCTCTCTATGCAGTTCAGGCTGGCCTTGAGCTCACTTTGCAGCCCAGGCTGGTCTTGAACTCACAGTGATCCTCCTGCCTCAGCCTCCTGAGTGCTGGGATTACAGGCATGTACCGCCATGCCAGGCTCACATCTTGACTCCTAACAGAATTGGATTTGCCCGTTTTTGCTTTTGTTGCCTGTGGTTTTGGTCTTACATCCAAAAAATCACTGCCAACTCCAAAGTCATGGAGTTCTTTGATATCTCATTCTAACATGTTTTGTAGGTTTAGCCATAACGTTCAGAGTCTGACCCACTGTGGGTGAGTTTTTGTGTGTGGTGTAGGATAAGGGTCTAATTTGTGCTGAAAGGGCACTCAGTGCCACCCTCCCCTATCCTGGGCTCGCCCAATCGCACCCTGGACCCTCAGAAGTGATGATGGTGGTCACCAGGAACTGGGAGGAGGGGTGAATGGGGAGCTATCGTTTAATAGGTACAGGATCTGTTTTCTAAGATGAGTAGGAGGCAAACTTGTAATCCCTGCACTCCAGGAGGCTGAGGCAGGAGGGCTGCTCTTAGTCTGAGGAGCCACATGGAGGTCAGGGCAGCAGAACTGCAGGGAGGGGACACCAGGGACACACAGTACAGGTGGGCCTGTGGGCAGCAGCCAACCCTGATGTTATGACCAGGTGGTCACATGCTAGCTCTGCAGGGACCTGCCACCTCCTCACCGGTGTCTGAGATGACAGTTAAGTACATGCCACCTGGTGAGTGAACCTGAAAGGCTGGTGGCCGTCCACCAGCGCCTGATCCAGAACACAGGGACAGACAGGGCAGCATGGGCCGGGGACCAACCACAGCTGGGTCCCAGGTGCCTGAGAGGCAGCCGTCAATGTTACCCCAGGGCGCCCAGCAGCCAGGCCAGGGTGGGGGGAAGATGAGAGTCCAGCTCCCATCTCCTGTGCCATCGGCCAGGGCCCAGAGCCAGTCCTGTCGGCTCCTCTAGGAAACGGGAACAGGAAGCCCTAATAACAAGACGGAAGGGGCGTCCGCATTTGGAAGAGTTCTGAGGATCCCCAGACCTGCCCCAGCTCTGCCCTCCTCCCCAGGAACCCCCTAACCCTCCACCAACACACTCACCTGAAACTCGCCCTTGGTGAACCTGGCATCAGGCACGCTCACGAGCTCTTCCTCCCCCACCTCGGGGCAGCCCTGGGGAAGACAGCAGTGCCTCAGAGTGCTGCCTCTGCCACCCACACCCTCTGCCATCCAGCAACCCTGAGGCTCCGGTGCCCACCCTGCCTAGGCAGACCCCTGTTCTCACACTGGTTACACATACTCGGATGCGCCAGAAGGCTAGCACAGCCACCACCATGGCAGTCGTGGTCCGGCCCTGGCCACTGAGGCAGCTGAACACGAAGCCAGTGCCAGGGTCCTTGGCAAGGGCGGCCCGCAGGGCATCCAGCAGGTGGTCAAAGTCCTGAGGGTAAGGCCACAGTCTGAGTCCAGGGTGTTATATCTCTCCCCACCCAGGGCCCATGGACTGAATGTGTGAACAGACATAAGCCCAAGCTGCCCCCTCCACCTGGTGAGACACACAGGTAGGCCAGCCAGTGCCCCCCCCCCCCCCCCCCGTGTGAGGATGGGGCATGAGCCTAGCTGGACGTTGCAACAGGGCTCGGCCACCAGGGGGCAGCACACCACAGGCAGGGACCACAAGGGTACAGTCTCCAAGAGCACGCACAGGTGGATGATTCACCACACACCTGGCACACGCACCATACTGGGCACCCGCGTGCCTTCAAGACACATAGACTACAGACAGCTGGAAGATGCGTCTGTCACATATGAGAACACCTCGGTCACATACCGGCATGCCACAACAACCTCCACAGCCCACACCACACAGCGCTCTGAAGGCACCCTCCCCCCAGGCCTGTAAGACAAGACAGGCAGACAAGACAGGCATCCAAACCTGCAGAGAACACTCATCACACCTGTGTGCATCCATGATGCACCACACTCTACACTCATTCCCCCAGCAGACACAGCACACACGTGCATGCACACACACACACAGCTGCAAGGGATAGGAATGAACCCCTTGGGCCACCCTGTACCACAGTCTCCCCACCCCACAGCACAGCTGGGCTGGTCTCCCCTCCGTAAGCCCAGACCAAGGGGAGGCAGGGAAGCCTCCCGCCCCCCCCACCTCACCTCCTCTCGGGGGGCGCAGAAGTCTGGCAGGGGGATGCGGTGATACGTGAGGCCCGGGCAGGCCCCACAGTGCTGGCTGAAGACTTCCTGCATGGTGAGGCACGTCTGGAACCTGGGGAGCGGTGGGCCCTTCGTGTCAGGGGGCGGCATGCTTAAGTGGGCCTTCAGCTGGGCCTCCATGGCCTGAGTATAGAGATGAGTATAGAAATCACTGAGGCATCCCTCTGGCTTTGAAAGGCCAGAGCCCACGGTAGCTGTGGCCAGTCCTAGCATCCAGGCCCATCCCTGCCGCACAGTCTTGGGGGTCACAAGCCCACCAGAGCCAGGACAGCAAGAGAGCACTGGAGGACGAGTCCCAAACCAGCCCCTCAGACTGCCCCACTCGGGGCCTCAGTTCCCCATCTGTGTAGCAGCAGCATGGAACCCCCTGAAGACCCTACCAGGCCACATCCAGAGGCCTCCAAGGCAAGGACAGGAAGTCTCACCTCCAAATGAGCAGGGGCTATGGGGGGCCCAAGCATCCGCAGGCTGTGGATGTGACCATCACACTCCAACATGGCATCCTCCCGCAGGTTGACCCAGACCACCCGCTGCAGCTTCCTTTTGGCATCGGTCAGGTAGGTCAGGATGCTGCCCAGGGCCTAGGGGACAGAGGGACCATCAGGGAAAGGGCCCAGCCCTACCCCCCTTGCACGCCCCACACCCCAGGTGTAGTCACCTTGGCACTAGGCTGGGCCATGCCGTAGATGGGCATGCGGGGCACACGCCGGAAGTTGGCTACATCCATCTCTCGGATGGTGCTGAGCGCATCCGGGGAGACGAGATCATCTGCCTCCTGCGGGGAGGGCACTGAGTCTGGCACCACAGAGGGTTCAGAACCTGCTGGTGAGGGCGGGACCAGCACTCTACAGTTTACAGAGCCCCGTCAGCACCCCAGTGAGTGGAGGAGGCTGAGGCTCACAGATGGAAAGCTGGAGGCAAAGAGGCCACAGCCCAGGTCTCCTGACGCCCTGCCAAAGTGCCTGAGTTTGAGGCAGAAGAGGAAGCACTAGAATGGTGGCCAACGCCACGGGGGCTTCTTGGGGCCTATGACACCTCCCTCAGGTATGCCTGACCACCCCACCCAACCCCACAGGAATGCAGGGTCCAGGGAGCCCCAGACCCAACCATGCCCAGCCCTGCTTCCCACACCACCAGTCACACTCACCAGGGAGCCCTGGGCAAGGAGGTCGCTGGGTGTCACAGGCCCCCCTGAGCTCAGCGTCACAGGGAGGCGGTACAGCTCGGGGTGGGTGCACAGCCAGCGGCTGAAACTGAGGGCAAAGGCCAGGGGGTACTGCGGCCAGAGGCAGAGAGAGACGGGGCATTCAGGGGTGGGGGACCATCCTGAGCTTCCCTGCCCGCCCTGTGGGGCAGAGCCCCAAGAGACTCCAGCAGGGTCCAGGGCAGGCCCGAGGGGGTGGGTGAGAGAAGACCAGGACCCCTGCTCTCCTGGCTAAGGGACAAGAGGGACAGGTGGGGCCCGCCAGTATCCTCCATCTGGGTCTCTCCTTGTCGCTCCCAACTCGCCCCCAGCTGCTTCCTTGCAGGCCAACACTCATACCTACTCTCCGCCCCAGCTCCATGGGGTTCCTATCTACAATCACCGTGGGGTGTGGGAGAGGCCTGAAGGAGCCCGAGGAGGACAAGGTGCCGGTCTGTGACCCCAGCCCCACCTGCTCATGCAGATAGTAGCTGAACAGGATCAGGTGGAAGTAGCACTCCAGGCTCCGCAGCGCCCTCTGCCGGGCAACATGCTCCCCACTGCTTTCCTGAGAAGGGCAGGAAGGAGGGAGTTAAAACGTGGGGCTTCCAAGGGCGCCTCCTCCATGGAAGGCAAGGGGAGCACCTGGGAAATCCCAGGACACAGTGCCCTCTATTCTTCCAAACATCCAACTCTAACCGGTTGCCATGGTAAGTCGGTGATGCAGGTTGATTTCTGGTGACCACCCCAGGCTCTGCAGCTCTGGTCCTGATGCAGGAGTGTGGGGTACCTTGCTTTGCCCCAAAACCACCCCCATGCCACATTCTGCACCCTCTGTGTTAGGAAGCAAGTATGCAAACCCCTTCCTTTTCTGAAGGAACGAGGGACCCCAGCCCACTGGAAATCAGAGACCCTCACAATGGCGCTGGGGATAGAGAGTGTAAATACTATCCCTAATTCACAGAGCAGAAAGGGAAATTCAGAGAAGGGCAGTGACTGCCTCCAGATTACACAGACGATGGCAAACAGGGCTGGTCCCTCTCTCCTGGGGCCCGCAATCCTGTGGGTGGTGGGGTGTCAGAGGGAAGCGCACAGGAATTTCCCCCACCTTTGGCTCTCACAGTCCTCCTGCAGGGTCAGCATGACCCCAAGAGTGTCATGCCCTCTGACAAAGCTGGACCCCCACTTGAGGAATCCCCACCAAGAACTGGCCCGTGCTTCCTGCAAAAGGCTGGCAGCGAATGTGTTGGGCATGCAGCCTTCATGTCTCTGCCACAGGAGAGACAACTCGTGAGTGCACGGTGCACAGGCGCAGCCAGGCTGCCATCCAATTCCCTTCCAAGGACAGGTGTGGGCAGAGTGTGGCTCCTGAGCCCTGCCTGGCTGACTTCTAATCTGGACGAAGAGGGAAAACCTCGGCAATACAGAAGCCCTCAGTTCCATGAAGCTGCTCAAAGCAGAGTACTCGTGATGAGAATAAGCAGCCCAGCTGTCAACGATGTGGGTGTGCTCCGTAATTCACAGCAGGGGACAATGCTCTCTCCTAAGCATGCCACACATCTCACCTCCCCCAGCTCCACAGCAGCCCTACAAACTACTTATTACTGGTCCCACTTCGCAACTGGGGAAACCGAGGCACAGAGTGCCAGAGTGGTTCCCAAGTCCACACCCCCAGACATGGCAGAGCGAGGACCAGAACCCAAGCAGCTGGCCCGGGCCCTATTCTTCAGCTATCCGGCTAGTGGTGCTGGCTGACCTGTGACAGGGGTTTAAGTTACACGACTGTTAAAAATCTCAGTGACAAAAATCAGGCATCCACATGGGAACAGCTGCCACTGTGAAGTTAGAACAAGCAGGATGTGAACCGTGCGCTGAGACAGCCTCCGCCGGAGAAGCATAAACACACGAGACGAAGCAAACCAGCTCCAGATGCTCGCACAGCTGTGCTGGGATTATGGGCAATTTCTTTTCCTTTCTGCTCTCAAGTCTCAATTTTCCATCACAGAACACACTGCTTTTAAAAAGATATTTTTAAAAGAGTTAGAAGGAAGAGGCTCTGCGGGCTCTGCTGCTTTCCACGCACTGTCTGCAGACGCTGTCAAGCCAACCTCCTCCTCCAGAGCAGGGACAGCGTCTGCCTGGAGCCCAGAGTCCTACACTCTGCCGGAGCAACGCGTGGACCAACAGCTGCTACAGTTTGGATCATGCAAATTAAATAAAGGTTGGTCCCAAGGCAGTGCACTTAGGAGACAGTGGGACCTGAGGGTGTTAGGGGGTGGGAGGTCCTTGGGTGGACCCCCAAGAGGACAGCGGGGCCTCCGTCTTTCTCTTCCTCTCTTTTTCGCTTCTCAGCCACAAGTGAGAGGTTTAGCTCTGCCGCACACAGCTGCCATGATGTGCCCTTTCCCCAAGACAACAGGGCCAATCATTCCTGCGCAAGACCCTCCAGAACTACAAGTCAAAACAACCCTTTTCGCCACACAGGTTCATCATCTCCAATATTTCGTTACAGTCCCAGAAAACTGACTACCATGGAAAACAGGGGTGATCTGGGAAACATCTGAGTCCATGGGCCCCAGCAGCCCCGTCGTCCTCCATCCTGTTTATTCTGCCACCGAGTGAAGTGGACAGTGAAAGTAAACTTCCCCTCTTCGCTGTCCTTGTAGGCCAAGCGCCCGCCTCCCTTTCCTTTGAAATTGCCCTTCTTGTGGGAGCAGCAGCAGCCAGACAAGTCCAGCTGAAGAACTCACTCAGTCCTAACATAACCAGGCTGCAGGGTCCACTCAAGGCAGCGGCTCTCGCTGACCTCCCGCCTCACCTGGGCTCCGCTTTCCAGCCGGACACCCTCCCGCTTCCTCCGGTTCTCCAGGGCCGCCTTCCGCAGATCATGCAACTCTGCACAGGCAGCGATGGCTCTGTCCACCTGGGCCCAGGGAGAGAGCAGTCAGGAGGGAGATGGGAGATGGAGATTGGGAGGTCAAGGAAAGATGGTGGCACAGATAAAGAAAAGGAAAGTGAAGACCTGGCAGAAGGCAGGAGGAGGGCATCACAGAAGAAAAGGAATGATGCCCCCACCGGGGGCAGGAGGGGCTGCCCCTCCCCTGTGCCCACCCAGTCCCTCACTCACCTCTTCCACCATCTTCCTTCCCTGGGGCACCGCGTGAAGAAAGCGTTGGACCACCTGGAACTGCTCCATGGGCAGGGTCTGCAGGGGGCCAGGCCTGACAAGGCAGGGCAGCAGCTGCTGGGGGCTCCGGAAGGCCTCTGGACGGCCTCACTGCCCACTCCCTCACACCGTGTGATCCCCTGGGAAGCACCAGACCACAAATTCCTTCCGGGCCCCACTGGGGGAAGCAAGGGGCACTGCCCCCACTAGGGAAACTGAGGCCTGGAGGAGTCAAGTGTCTCACTCTAGGTCACACAGTCAATCTGTGCTGAATCTGGAAATGAGCTCCCAATTCTGGATCGGGGACCTTGGATGTGTGTCCCCATCACCCCAGGGCAGAGCCGCCCCCTCCTCTCCTCATCTCCACAGCCCCTGGGACTCTAAGTCCCTGAGCACTCACTCTGCCCGTGAAGTAGTCCCGCTGTGGTGAAACAGCACCAGGGTGCCCAGGACCATGCCCAGGTGGGTCCTGCCCACACCTGAATGGCAGCTGAAGAGGAGGGTGGGGGCAGACCCGTGGGCATCACGGAGATGCAGCAGGCTGGGAGTCTCCTAGGGAAATGAGACAACAGGGTGACCAGACACCACAAGGCTGAGGATCAAGTCAAGGAAGGGGCTTGTGACATCAGCCCACCCTGTCCCAGGGTCTGCAGCAAACAGGGCTCGGACAAGGGGCTCAACTTCTGGCATCAAAGCCACAGCCGGGACTCTGGCCAGGCCTTGGAGGACCTCCCGGGCACTGTGTGAGGGGACCGTGTTTGGGGTCCACAAAGGAGAGCTACTCAGAGGCCACCGGACCTGTCCTGAACAGCTGCTGTGAGACACAAAGTTAAGTAAAGCAGCGTCCTCACGCACACAGACCTGTAATCCCAGCAGTGCAGGAGGCTGAGGAGGGAGGGTCACAAGTTCAAGCCCAGCCTGGAGAACTTAGCGACTCAGTGAGACTTGTCTCGAAATTTAAAAAGGGTTACGGACGTAGTTCAATGGGAAGGCCCTGAATTCAATCTCTAGTACCACAAAAAAAATAAAAGTAAGAACATTTGGACAGCATCCTGGGACAGGAAGGTGACTAGGACTCAGCAAACACCACATAGAATCTGTGGAGTAAGAATCCCCAGCATCACTAAAGAAATGAGGAACTTCAGGTCTGGGGATGTGACAGCGAGAAGCCAGGCCTCCGGGGATCAGGGAGATCAGCGACTCTGCCGCTAGGGATGTGCAAATGCACACCGGCACATAGGTGCATACACAGACACAGCGTGCACAAATACTGCAAAGGGACACAGGTGCCACCACACAACCGACATGGCCCTAAACATCTCCAAGGACACCGTCTCCCCCGGCACCGCCTCTGCCCCACTCACTCGAAGGATGCTGATGAAGGCATCAAACTGGGCTTCCAGGGGCGCCCCTTGCTCCGGCAGGGGCAGGCGGTGGTACCTGCCAGGGGAGAGGAGCAGCCTGTCAGGCAGGCACCCGTCTCCCTTCCCCGTCCACAGGAGCTGGGACAGGAAGCCCAGCCCAACCACAGACAGAGAAACTGAGGCTGCCACTGGGGGCTCAGAGGGGACCCCAGCCGGCCGCCGGGTACCTGTAGGTGGGCTGGAGGAAAAGGGGCCGCTTGTACACCTCCTTGGTCACATGCACGTCGTCCTCACCCCTGACGGCCACAGCGTGGGGCTCCCCCCGCAGGTCCTCTGTGTCATGGTACACATAGTAAGTGTTCTCACTCAGCCGGGCAAAGTCTTGGATCTAGAGGAAGGTGCGGGGGTCAGGGAACAATGACCAGGCCTCCAGGACTCAGCTGGGCTCTGGAGGAACTGGGCCACACAGAGGCCACACACGGATTTCTTTTCCTCCAAGAAGGAACCGCACAACCAGAGCACTCTCTGGGCCCTGCCTGGGGGGTCGTGGGAGGCCACTGGCCCGAGGGAAGGCAGCTCCCCGGGGGCCAGGCTGCAGGGCTCTGTCCAGTGGGCAGCAGGAATGCATGAAGCCAAGGAGAGGCTCTGCGAACCAAGGGGGACAAAGGGACAAGCAGGAGCTGAGGGGGACACAGGGCACCGAGGGCACTGAGATCTAAAAGGGAGGTAGGGAGACAGTGATCACCAGAGAGCTTTGGTTCCTGCCCCAGGGGAGTCTCTGAGATACTAGGACCCCCACATCTTCTTTACTCCTTCCATGGGGTGTCACTGGCAGCAGCAATGCTGTCAAGCCTCCAGGTAGTGGAAGGAAAGGAGGACACAGGAATCTCACAGCCAGACCCCCAGAGGCCAGCAAGAGTGATTTTTCCAGGGCCTCTTGGTGCAAAAGTAACCAGGGTCCTGGGCCTCCTAGTCTAGGGGTCTCCTGCCCCACCTGACCCATCTCATAAAGATGCTGAGCATGAAAAAGAACAGAATGGGGCAGGGGCAGAGACGGAAGCAGCAGGAAGCCTGTCCTCTGGCTGCCTTGGAGCCAACTTTAAGGTAGCCTCTCACCCAAGCAGGGCAGTGTGGCCGGTGACAGCCAGCAAGGTTGACCCAACAAGCATGTCTGTCCAGAGCTGCTGTATAAGCTGGGGCCTCAGCTCCCACCCACCTGCTGTCCCTCACCTCTTTCCGGATGGCCAGCTCTGTGCTCTCCACCTGGACCCCAGGCCCCAGGCCCCGGAGGTTCTCCTGAAGGTTGTGCTTATCTCGAGGCGTGTAGGACACGAAGTCCTCATCAGCACGCAGGAACAGCACGGGCTCCTCCCGCACGCAGAAGATGATGCACTCCTGGTGGAGGGAAGCCGTCTCCACTACCAGGCAAAGCCACTGCCTTCCACCCAGCTGTGCCCGGACAGTGCCTCCCTCCTCGGAGGCCCAGCACTCGACCTGGTTCCCGCAACCTGAATGCTACCCAAGAAACAGCTCAGTCCAAACACCACCTGCTCATGATCTCCCCCCATCCCCGCCACCAGGAACCGTCCCTCCTCTCAGGGCCACATCCTCTTTCCTGCTTAACATTATCTATCAGTGAAGGCATCTTTTCTCCTTTGGTTGAACACCCCATTTAGAAATCATGGCCATTTTCATGCAGCCACAATTCTCAGCACAGAGTCCTGGATTAATCAAGTAACTGCTAAAAATCAACTCAAGAAATGAATAGGCGCTGCCACTGTTATGAATCCAGGGTCCACGGTGTTGAAGGTGTAGCCACTGATGGGCTCTGGAAAGGTGTCTGGATCATTAGAGCGCTAAATTCACCAAGGGGATTAATCCGCTGATGAGTCATTGGCTGAATGGGCTACAGGCAGAGTGTCTCGTTGGATGAAGCAGGTCACTGGGAGGTGTGGCTTTGAAGGTATAGCCTGGCCCTGGTCCTTTCTTCTCAGGATCCTCTCTGTGCTTCCCAGCTCCCAGAAGGAAAGCAGGTTTCCTCCACACCTCCATCCGCCATGATGGTCTGCCTCACTTCCAGCCCAAAGTAGTGAAACCTGCCAACCACAGACTGAAACCTCTGACACCGTAATCCAAAATAAACTGACCATCGTTTAAACTGGTTTTTCTCAGCTGTTCTTCCAGTGATGGAAAACTGACACAAGCCCCACGCAAGCATTCCTTCACTGACCACTGAGAACACAGCCAGCTACATGGTAGAGCCTGCCCTGGAGGAGTGCTGACCCACCAACATGGGGCCTGCACACAGCCTGCCATGTCCTGTCCACTCCAGACCTCTTCACCTTAGCCCCAGGTCAACGGTGAGTACTGCCCCGGCATTCTGTAGTCACAGTGCCCCCTCGGCTCCTGTCCTGGAGGCAGCAAGATCCCCAACCTCGTTCAGGCAGGCAAGGGGAGTCCTTGAAAGCTGGTGCTTGGGGTCAGATGCAGGGTCTGGGTCCTGGGAAGCCCTCGTGAGACCTCGTAAGCTGCAGGACCCTGAGTGAGTCACTTATGCCCAGAGCCTGTTTCCTCCTATGTAAATGAGACCAGGAGCTCCTCCTGTGAAGGCTTAAGTGTCAGCTGTGATCATCTTCAGGCAGTCTTCCCTCCCTCCTTTTTACTTTATTTTGTACTGGGCAGTGGGGACTGAACCTAGGGCTTGTCACTAAGTCATTAAACCGTCCAGGCTGGGCTGCAGCTTGTGGGCTGGAGTGCTGGGACCCTAAGAGGTCAGTCTCCTGAGTTACAAGCTGACCCCTTGTGCCAATGGTGCTGTCACCCCCTCGTCTTCTCTGAGGCCTCATGATGGGTGTCCAAGGAGCTCCTGACATCCACTCCCATGTCCACACAGGACGAGGCAGTAAACATTTGCCAGAATCCCCAACCATGCCACCCACAGTGACATCCTGGAAGTCAAGGCCAGGGAAGCCCTGGTCCAGGCCACCACTCGCCCTCCTTAGATGATGGCCAGGCTCTTCCCAAGCCTCTGTCCAGATTCAGGGGGCTGGCTGGACAGCAGCATGCTTACCTTGTGTCCATCCTTCTGGAGTTTCTGAAGGACCTGCTTGAACCCCAAGAGGCTGGGCTGTCCCATGCCGAACACAGCAAGCCCATCCCGTGCCTGCCGGAAGTTGGGGACCCCGCAGCTCCCTGAGGTTCCCAGCACATCCATCTTCTCAGTAACGTCCCGTACCAGGAAGTAGCGGCCCTAGCAAGGGAGAGCCACAGGGGTCACTCAGAAGACCCAGGCATCTTCTACAGGAGGGGCGCTGTGCTGGGCTCCTGGGGAAAAACATAATCCTGACCTCAAGTTCTCCTCGGGTTCATGGATTAAGCAGATAAAAACCAGACAGCTGTGGGCATGGACTCAAAGTCCTGGAAAAGGAGAAAAGACTCCTCCTGAGGGGGCATCAGAGAGGGCTTCCTGCAGGAGGTGGCTCCGGAGCCAAGGCCTCGAAAGGCAAGGAGGCAGGACTGGCCTAGGGTGTGCCTGCAGCTTCCCCTGGATGAAGGCAAAGGTCTCTCGCTCCTGGTGAAAGGGGTTGGGGTATAAGGGGCCCTGCGGAGGAGGAGAGGGGACAGCAGGGGCACCAGGAATGAGACCAAGAAAAACTGTGCTGGCCCCTTCCTAGGCCTAACTGGTCCTGAGGATACCAGGTAGGTGAATAGATGCAGTGACCACAGAGAAGAGGAAAACACTGTCCAGCTAATTAAGCAAAAAGAGAGGTCACAGGAAGAGCTCACTGCTGGCCAAGAAGTTGTCCTAGGACTGAGGGTTTAGCTCAGCAGCTCAAGCTCTTGCCTGATAAGCACAAGGTCGTCAATTCAACCCCTGGTGCCAAAAAAAAGGTGCCCTAGGTCATCGTCATCTGGTGCACCCCTCTCCAGCAGGCCACAGCCACCCTGCCTGACAGAAAGTGGGACTGCAATTCCTAGACAGGCCAGAAGCTCCCAGACCTCTTTCACCAAGTGCAGCTTAATGACTGTTATTATTCATGCAGTCATTCGTTCGAGAAATATATTTATTCAGCAGCTGCTTGCTTCTAAGCCCCAGGCCTGCAGTAGCAAATAAGGCAGACTTAAAACTATGAGCCCTTGGGACTTTATACTTTCTAGGAGACCTGAAGAAAAGTTAGCCAAGCAAGAGGTCTGAAACTTGGAAAGACAACAAAACAGATTCCCACCCTTGTCCCCCTGGGACCAGCAGCCCATGTCTGCTCCCGTGATGCCCAAGGAGGGAAGCAAAGGTAGGCTGGGGCCGGCAGGGGACTGATGGGGTATAATAAGATCAGGGGCAAGACGAGGGGCCCAGGAAGCCGAGGGGAAGAGCCTGGGGAGGTGAGCCGCACTGCACTGCACTGCCCTTTAGGAAGGGCTGAGGTAATGAGAGAGACCCTGATGGAGCAGTCGGGCTGGCCTCACCTGCACCAGGTAGTGCTCAGGGCTGGCGGCCGAGAGCCGGCCCCGGGTATAATGGGCCTTGAGCGGCTCATCGTGGATCTGGAACTCCTCCTTGCAGTTGTACCTGCCAGACCACAGGGAAAACCAAGTCAGACAGCTTCCATGTTAGAGTCACCCCCACCCCACCAAAGCCTGAGCAAGGCCACCCATCTGCCCTCATAGCTGGCCATTTGTGACAGACTGAGCTTTATCCACCAGTAGCCACTCTCCCCTCCTTCAGACACAGAACCCAAGATGGCCATGATTGGGGGAAGGGAACTGAGTTACCCCTTGCATCTGGTCATGTGACTGAGCCTCAGCCAATGAGATGTGAGGGGAACCTGATATGAGCAAATTCTGGGCCACCCGCAAAGGGAACGCCTTCCACCTTGTCTTCTGTCTTTCTCCATGACCCAGATCTAGAAGTAACAGCAGAAGTAGCACAGCCATCTCAGACCACATGACAGAAGGCACAGACACTGGGCAGCCAGAGTGGCAGTGCAGCTGACCACAGGGCTGCCACCCCAGCCTGGACATTCCAGTGACAGGGAAGGCTCTGTCCTGATTAAGGCATCTGTTATGGATTGAGAACTGGTGGTCAACTTAACGCCAGCTGGATTACCTCAGCATGCATTGAGAGAAGATGCTCCACCTGAGGAGGGTTGCCAGGATAAATAGGTGGAGAAGAAGAGAGGTGTTGAGAGGGATTGAGGCGTTAAGGAGGCATTGTGGGTTCTCCTACGAGTTGCTGTCTAAGCTGTTGGTTCTCCTGGAGAGGCTTTGGTCCTCACATTTAGCACTGCTTCCTGGCTCCGGAGGGGAAGACACGTGCTGCCTGGTCTCCAGAATGAACTCAGTCACTCTGCTTCCTGGCATGTACCCGACTGTGCTTGTCGTCGGAGGAGCTCGGGGCCTCCGTGTCACTGAGGACAGCTGTGATGCCTTTCAGGATAGCCCTGGTCTTTGTTGTTAGTGTGACTTCTCGGCTCCAGCGTAGAACCCTCATCCCACTAGCACAGCTCCTTCATCCTGCTGGCATAGACTTTCTGGCTTCCACCACTGACCCTTGGGTCTTCCCGGCACGGATCCATAAAAGAGACTGGTGTGAGTCCTTCTTGTGGGCCCTGGGTCTCCAGTTGGACTCGTAGGAGGCACTGTCCTGAGCTCTGGGTTTTTATCTGGACTCATGTGGGACATTGCCATGGGGTTTAGGCTCTTGACTAAATAATCTATGTCTTTGGTGTTGTGGATAGATTTCTTGCATTTTCCTGTGTTAACTCCCGGTGACTATTATAAAAATATTATAAACTCCCTATCCTAATCCTAGTTGTTCTCTGTGTATGACCCTGACTAAAACAACATCCTATGGCGGAGGGGTGCTGTGTTATAATGACCTACCCTGGAACCTGCTAAAAATGTCACTGAGTGGTCCCTCCCTCAGATTGCGCCTGAGACAATTGCACACTGTCAGCCACACCACCTGGTGTGGGGGATCAGAATGCAGGTGTTGAGTGTGAATCCCAACCCTGCTTCTTGGTAACTGAGTGGCTCTGGATAGCAGTTCCATTTCCGATCCTTCCTGTCTCCTCAGACTATGGTGACAGCTGCGTGCACTATGACATAAGTGCCCAGCCCAGAACACAGTCAGCACACGTGAACATAACCACCGTTACCTGCAGCAGTTCCCTCCATACCAGGGCCAGTTCAAACAAACCCTCAGGAGAAAAGTCACAATTTCTGAAGGCATTAGGCCAGGCAAAACTCCACATAATCAAGTGCTGTCAGACGGCTATCTCAACGTGCCAAGCCACGGGGCTGGCAACAACAGCCTTGCAGAGTTTAGGCTATGGTGTCAGGGCCTCTGCCAAAACACTTCCTCTGGGAAAGGCGGGGGTAGAGCTGGTGGGCCAGAGGAGCATGAGACCAGGAGGCAGGAGACCTGGCTTCCACTCCAGCTCTGTGGACTTATAGAGGGTAAATCACACTTTGAAACCCAATTTTTGTATCTAAATCAGTTTCTGCATCAAATCTAAAAGCACTAGATCAGGGTTCCACAAGCCCTTCCCACAAAGGACCTAATAGTGAATGTTTCAGGCTACTGGAGCCACATGTGGCCTCTGCCACACTCAATTCTGCTGTTGGAATGCTAAGCATTCCACAGATACACTGTGGGAATGGCGGTGTTTCAATAAAACTTTATTTATATTAACAAGAAAGGGGCCCGACTGGCCTGCAGGAGGCAGTGTGCTGATCACACTACTGGATGATCTCTAAGGTCCCTTCCACCTCAGTCTGCACCTCAGCAGTAGATATGGCTCCAGGCATGCACACATCAGTTGGATCTTCACAGCTGGCCAGAGCTGTTCTGAACCACACCAAATATTGCTAATGCTACCTCTGTTTATGGCGATAAGCAACTTGAGGCCCAGATGGGGAAAAGGGTCACAGAGCAGAAAAGAGTTGCAGCCAGGCCCTGGACATGTGCTTTCCGTGCTGTCCCCAAACCTGCTTGTCTGTTAAAACAGAGACCCCATAGCAAGTCTCTTTCATGTGACACTTGTTTTCCTCCGCTCTCATAGCACCACTGATTTTTATGACTGCCCTTGCCCCGGCCCCCGGCAAACAGACAGGCCCTATCACCCCCACCCCCTCGGCCTGCCCATCTTTAGAGCTCTGCCAAACTTCTGCATGTGCCCGAATTGAATTCACAGCTCATCCAGTCCTACTTCCGGCCAGAGGCAGAGGCTCTGCAAAGTGTTATAGGCTCTCTGACTCCCCAGAGGACAAGAGCCAATGTCCCTTCCATCTCCCTGCCCAGCTCCCGTACCGCTCCAGGCAGCTCCACGGGACAGACAGGCTCCAAGGCCCTTCTGGACCCTCTTGCTCTGGCTGCGGCTCTGTGTCCAGGTCTGTCCAAAGAGGCTGCCACAACAAACCCTCCACCCCTCAGGGACTGTTCCAGGGACTGTTTCTTCAGCCCAAGGCCCTGAAACAACCTATCATTAGCCTCAGCTCTGAGCCATAATGGCTGGCTCCGAAAGCAAAAGACCTAAATTCCATGTACTTAAGTACATAAAAGACACTTCCTTTAAAAATGTTCAACCAAAAATCATTTTCACAAGGGTGTCCCTCCTGCTCCTCCCCCTTCTCCTCGCTCGCTGGCACCGTGATAGGTAACACCCTCCCCCCCCCCCCGCCACTCACGTGATCACGACAGGGGCCACCTTGTTGGGAATGATGGACTTGGCCTTGCTGTTGTGCAGGCTCGTGGTCTGGATAGCATGGACGCTGCATGAATGCCGGCTGTCCATTGTGTTGCCCCCCTGGAGACTTTCGAGGGGGGCACCCGCAGAGACCGCCTGCTGGGCTGTGCTAGCTGTCGTACCCATAGTAAGCTGGCAGCCTCAGGACCGAAGACCTGCGGGGAGAGAAGACATACACCAGCCATTCAAGTAGGGTCCCGGCCCATCCTGGACCGCCCACCTACTGCAAGCAGCAGCCACCACTGCAACTCCAAACACAGAAAGCTTGATGCCACCACCCTGGGTTCAGAAAGGCTCACAGGGTGGCTGCCATGTGTCTGGCCTCCTGCTGATGCTTTCTTTGGGGGAGTCATAGAGAGAGACACGAAGAGCAACTCCTGGCAAAAACAAGACAGGAAGAAAATAAGGCAAAGGTGAACTGTCAGCAAATCAGGCTCCAAAAGAAAACCCCTTGGAGCTTGACATGATATCTGGGAGAAGGCTGGGTGTCCTTGGGCTTTAGCCATCTCCCTGCAGAGTTCCTCCTCGAGGACACGCTGAAGGATGGACTACCGCGTGCTGTGGGTGATAGGTGTTGTTCCTAAGAACACAGCACTGGGAAGAGCCTCCAGCTGCCAGCAGGCATGTGCAGATCGCTCCAAGCTGCCGTGGAATGGACCTTGTAGACAGAAGCCCGAAGCCACCCTGGGACCGGGAACAGCTGGAGCAGCTGCTCAACACAGACCTGAAACCACACCACCCTCCCTGTGTCTGACAAATCACCTCCGGGTGCTTGGTGAGCTCTCTCCAGAGAGATCATAGACAACTTCCAGTTCACCTGCTTGTCTACATTTTCTGATTTTTCTTCTCTGAACATAGGGTAATAAAGGTAAAATCCATTTAAAGCAAATCCATAAATTCATGCGTGGGGAAGAGGGCCAGGATGACTTCGAGCTGGGGATGGAAGTGGCTCTGAGAGCCAGGCATGCTGGGAAGGGAGGGGCCGGAAGTCCTCGAGACCCCACCGAGCACTGATGGTCCAGGACCAGAGGGGCAACTTGCTCCACCTTCCCCTCAGCCCCCTGCAACCTGGGTGATGGCTCTGTGCATGAGAACAAAAATACCTCCCAGCTGCCTGCAGTGGAGACAATCCACTCCCAACCAGCCTGTCCATACCTCCCTCCCTCCCGTAACCAGCAGGGGACAGTGGGGTACCAGGGTCAGCAAAGCCAGGGTCGGTCCAGTCTGAAGGCCGACCTCACCGTTCCCAGAATGAAAGCCCCGCAACCCCCGGCAGGTGCCCCCAGGCCACCCCCTGACATGTACTCGGGCCCCCTTCCACCTCTCGCCTTGGAGACTCTGAGAAAGAGTGACTTCTGCCAGCTCTCTGACCCCTATCCCCCAGAACCTGCTCGAATCACAGCTGGGAGAGGTTCCACTCCCTCTGGAAAGTCCCCGGTCAGCCCTGTCATCCTTGAATACTCCCAGGAGCCTGGTGACTGACGACACCAACACACACGCTTTGTGTTCCAGCACCTCACACCCTGCCCAATCCCAGGCCAACCCCACCGCCTTGTTTTGTTCTTTGTCAAAGGTGGAAAAAATGAGCTTCTATGTTCCCAAACAGAAAAACAGGTGGCTCAGAGAGGGAGAGAGGCTCACAGGGGACCCCAGCTGGCAACAGCAGAGCGGGCATTCTCTCTCCACCTCGCCAGGCCCCCAGCTGCCAGGCCCCAAACAGCACAGCTGAAGTTTCCCAGGCCCCTCCCAGCAGCCCGCGCCCAGGGGGTGTGTGTGGGAACAGCCCTGAGCCAGGGACACAGGGAGCAGGAAGGGCCCAAGGGAGGCCACAGCTCCAGGCCTGGAGGGGTCCCCCAGGGCTCAGGTTGGCCTGACACCCCTGCCTCTTGTCCCTGCTGGTCTCAGGCCCTTCCCCTCACTGGGCTCACAGGCAATGACAAGCCCCAGCCGGTGCCCCGCAGGGCATCCAGGAGACAATACAGATGTGCACAGCTGCAGGGGCAGAACAAGCCGCTAGGGATGGGGGAAGGACAGAACCTGTGAAAACTGAATCATCTCCAGCATATCTGGAGGGGGTTCAGTAGTGGTTTCTCACTCTGTAAGCCCCTAAGACTCTAAAACCCTTCAAACCCAGGCAGAGGGAGCCTCCGCGGCTCAGGAGACTTTGTCTTGCCAGCCACATGCTGTGGGGTCCCGAGCAGCTTTCTTCTCCTCTCTGGGTCTCAGTGTTCCAACCGTAAAATGATAGCGAGGGATGAGCTGGCCTTCTAGCTTCAGGGCATCTGGCTCCTAAAATCAGCCATCCTAGTGGCCGCAGTCCTGCTGTCCACTACCAAGGACAGTGGTCGGCAAGGCAGGAGGGCTGGGTGGGCTCCCCAGTGCCAGTCCTCTCCTGGGGGACCCTAGGGATGGCGGGTTAGGTCAGACTGTAAGAGGCGGGTCCGTGAGCCTGGGTGTTTTATAAACAACGATGCCCGTGCTCGTCAGATCATGCTGCTCAAACAAAACGGTGTAACTGAAACAATCAATTTAAAATTAGCAAAGAGTCAACAGAGACATAGCAGCATACACCTATAATCCCAGGACTCTGGCAGGCTGAGGCAGGAAGATCAAAGTAGCCTGGGCTACTTAGCTCCTGAGTCTCTGAAAAAGGAGATGAGGGTGCAGCTCCACGTGAAAGCCCTGGGTTCGAGCTCCATTCCACGTCCCATAGAAAAGACTTAACTTTGGCTCAAAGAGTTGCAGGTTTCAGCCCACACCGATCCGACTGCTTTGGGGACCATGGCAAAGCCACAAACCATGGTAGAGCACATGGCAAAGGAAGGCCTCGGGCTGGACACCCCAGCTGCCAGGTGCAGGTCACACACTATTCCATTTAACCTGAACCCCAGAAGAGGTGCCAACTCTCACACCTCCAGAGCCAATTCACAAAGACAAGTTAAAGATAGCCAAAAGATTAAAAGATGCATGTGAATACCAAATACGCACATTAAAAGATACTCAGGGCCATTTCTAAAGATGGTCAATACCAAGCACTGGCCTGGAGACTCCCATACACTGCCAGGGGCATGGAAGATGCTGCGGGTGGACTTCCATGTCTACAGGCCAGCCCTGCTCCGAGCCCCAAGTCCCCCGGCAGCCCCACGAGCAGCCATCAGACAGCTCGAGGTCCTCAGAGCTGAACCCAAAGCTGCTGCCGTCGCGGGCAGGGCCTATGGCGCCTGGCACTGTCATCCCTGACCAAGGAGCACAGGCAGAGACTACACAGCAGAGACTCCAAAATCCATACCTGGCTGGGCGCGCAGTGGTTCCTGCTCTGTGTGACATAAGGCTGTGGCCAAACATTGGCTGGATCCCATTTCCACCGCCCATCAGTCGTGCAACCTATGGTCCAGGCCTCAGTTCCCCCTTATAGACCAAAAACCACAACAGCCCTTCTTATTGGGCTACACAAGGAGGAAATAAGTGCATGTGTGCAAAGCGACTTCTCGACAGCCCAATACACCGCCTCTCCAAGCGCCCTCCAGCACTCTTGGAGCCGCACCTGCACAGGCAGGTGGGGACAGGGTTGACACCTGTATGCGGCCCAGAGGAAGAAGTATGCTGGCCTTGGCCCTGCTGGTCGCATGGTGAGCCCTCCTCTCCTCACTGCACTTTGTAGGGAGCCACCCAGGAAGGCTGCCATCTGCTCCCAGCTTCCCCAGGGCCCAGTGAGGCAAGGCCAGCTCAGCTCTGGGACAGGCAGGTCCCCATGGAACAGGTCAGTTCTCGCCCACCCTCTACTCCCATCCAGTCCCAGCCACCAGGCCACCAGGCCCAATCAGTGACAAACAGCCCCTGCAGGACTCCCCTTCCCTCTTAACCCTATGATCCAGTTCTTTGGTTGTGGGAGGACCCTGTGACAACCCACACCAGATCATGTCACTTCCTCCCACCACCTGAGTGGCACGCAGACCCTTACCCCGGCCCACGACCACACTCCCCTCTGTGACCCTCCAGGCCCAGCCAGGTCCTTCGTGTTCTTCCCACACACCAGGCCCCTCCTCCTCGGGAAGCTCTTCGCCTGGATTCTTCCTTCCCCACCTAGCCGGGCTCTACAGGCTGCAGAGGCGAAAAGCCCAGTTCCTCCAGGAAGCCCTCCCTGACTGCACACTCACTCTGCCTCCCAATCCAGCAGCCTGAGTGAGCATCACTAAAGCTGGGTCCTCCTTTCCCGTGTTACACACGGCTCCTGGAAGAGGCCACGCCTATGTCCTTCTGGCCAAAGGACCAGCTCCTGAGCAGAGGAAGGAACCAAGTGCAAGACAGCAGGCAAGGACCTGTTCCTTCGCTTCCATCCTGCCCAGCTCTCCTGGGGTGACACAGTTCAGGAGAAGCAGGGCCACTCGCTCCTCCATTCCCCTCACCTCCTAGGGTCCCCAGACCTTTTTCTTCACAACCTCCATCCTCAAATCTCCTCTTTGAAACTAAGAAGAGATCCATTTAAGAACTAAATTAGAGGGGCCAGGGATGTAGCTCAACAGCATGGGGCCTGCCTTGTAAGCATGAGGTCCTGAGTTCAAGTCCCAGTACCCCCCCCCCGAAAAACTAAAGCTGAGCACGGTAGTGGCATGTACCTATAATCTCATCTACTAAGGAGGCTGAGGCAGGAGGACCACAAGTTTGAGATCAACCTGGGCAACTTACCAAGACCTCATAACAACAACAGTAATACAAGTAAGTTAAAGCCCTCTGGGAGCTGGGGTGGCAGGAGATGCTCTGCCTGCTACGTTATGTTTCTAAAATGCGTTTATTCTTTCCAAACAGGAAGGGTTAAAAAACAAAGATGGAGGCCATTTGGAAATGGGGCAGCAGTGTGGCTGAATTCTAGGTTTCAGCCTGCAAAAATGGGGGGTCTGAGTGCTGGCCAGAAAGCAGAGTTATCCCTGTCACAGCCTGAGGTGCTGAGTCTGGGTGGGCTTGGAGTCACGAGGGGACAAGGGAGGGAAGGAGAGACAGCTACCGGCAGAGAGCCCTGCAGACGGGAGTGGGTCAGAGTGCAGCTGGGCCACTGGGCTGGGGACTGCTGGTGGCGGGCACAGCCCTTCCCCGCGGAGGGTGATGGGGTCAGGGCTCCAGCAGTGACCCTCAGCACCAGCACCGTGGGCACAGCCAC